TGTTGTAGAAAGTAAAGATTAGAGACCAGGCTCCAAGAAAATCATCTATCTCCATCTCTGCCTGGAGATAGACATGAAACACTCAATGCGATACTGCCATCTTCTCTCCCTTCCCAACAAACAGTGTGCCTCAGCTAAGCTTAATGGGAAAGAAGGTTGCAATAGATCCCAATGTCTGAGAAGGGTACAGGAAGGAGAAAATATTTTGTGTGACATGTATTTAATAACCCTCTGTCATAAAGCCTCAATTTCAAAACCTCAAAGGAGCTGTGGCCAGTTTTAGGTACTCAAGGACTAGGCTGGCTGAGCAAGAGAGATGAAAGAATACCCAGGGAGCTGGCGGGAATGGAGAGACTCAGGCTACCAAGCCCATTCAACCCACTAGGCTCAGCTACTGCATTCATCTTACTCTGCAAATGAAGAAAAATCTTGATGTCTGCCCCAGCATGGAAAAAGGGACAAGTCTGGTAACCTGGCGACCCAGTCCCAAATCTGACTTTGCGTCAGAATCATCAAAATTCAGTTCGGGAAATTAGCTAATGCACTGGATCTTCACAAATTCTGATTCAGTAGGTTTAAAATAAGAGCCTGGAATCACAGTTGTTAATACCACCACCACCGCCACCACCACCACACCAAGGAGGACTAGGCTTCAAGAAGAAGCAAAGGCAATGGGAACCGAGCACTGTGAATGGGGAGGTAGCTGCACGAGCCACAGACACCCCTGATCTGATGAGTGCCCTCTCTCCAAGGTGGTGATGTGGGCACTAGGGAGACTACTAATAATCAGCTAGGGACATCAGCCTCTAGCCAACCAAACCAGATGAAGATGAGTGGAAAAACTTACAAAGCAATAAGCAAGTCCAGCCAAACTAATTTGTGACTGCACTTTAGTTATGTGACGGTAAAGAGTGGGCCCTTTAAAAATGTGTATGATCCTGTACTTCTGCAACTTCTTGCTTAGGCTTTGTTTTTCCTGTAATTATTGCTAATGTTGCTTTTAAAAGATCTGTCTTGGTCAAAATTTAAGAAAAGAGAATTGTGTGGATGTAAGCCAAGTCCAAGTTTGGATGATCAATCTTTGTCCTATTTTTAAAACGACCATTTCAACCTATCCACTTTAACGTAATTTATTCTCATCTCATACAAGAGTTGTGGGTAGCAAAATTCCCAGTTTACAGGCAAAAAAAACTGAGGCACTCAAATATGTGTTGACTTGATTTTTATTTTATTCATAATCACATGGGGGTATACATGATCACAAATGTGCCATCAGATAATCCATAAGTGATCTACCATAAGGACAGAATCACCCTAACTTCTAAAATGCAGAGGGAGAATTCAAAGCAGAAACTCTACTATCTCATCAAGGAATAGGTGGCCTGATTGTTCAAATACTTAAATGGACCAGGCTCCAGGCTGGTTGGGTAGGCAAGATGAATGGGTACCTGGGGAGCAGGCAGAAGTGAAGAGTATATGGAATGGAATTTACATTACATTTGAATTAACAACTTTCGAAAGGCTCAAATAAGATGAAATAATTCCACACAAATCCTATTACAATTTGAAAACTCAGAATGCTATCCTCCCCCTAATAAATTTATTTAAACATTTTATTAAACACATAGTACCTATAAAGCACTAGCCTTGTGGGAGATACAGACATGAGTAAGCTCTCGTTCTTATTCTTGAGGACTCAGCAATCTGTAGGAAAGATAAGACAAATACACAAACAACCAGACTTGAAGCAGAATGTTATTCATAAGAGAGATATGGACAAATACTGTTGAGCATCTGTGATTATGAAGGTCAACTATAAATCTTTGGAGCTAAGTAAAACTGCTGGTTAGAAGATTTCCAGGCAGAATGCAGAGTCTTAGTTCTTTCTATGAACCATAAAATATGTAAGTAGTTACTTTTGCAAACTACCTTTACCATATTAGGCAAAAGCAAGGATTTCCCAACGACTTATAAAAAAATTTCATTCATATCTAAAAAAGTCATTTTAGTTTTAGACTCTGTGAACTGTTTTATACTACATTAACTCACTGAGTGCAGATGTCACGATTTTGGTTCTTCCTAAAATTAAGGGAAGAAAAACGCAATCACCAAAGAATACAACACTCAGGAAAGTTAATGCAGACAGATTTAGTTTTGTGTTGCTCATCTTGGAGAACTGTTTACATTTACAATATACAGTACCAAGAAAAAAGATTATGTCATGATTTTCTGAAAGGTTCAGTGCAGCAAAATAAAATTAGCAAATTTATGTACACCACTTTTATATACTTTTTAGCCTTCAAAAATTGTATAATAAAGGTCTACTGTCTTCATCAGATTCCAATGGCTTTCTACGGAAATGCAAAATGCACCAATCAGAGAAAAGCCTAAGCATCTTTAAAGGACTGATATAGGTACTATTACTAGCTTTCTTTAAAAAAATAAACAGAACAATTTGTGAATGTTTGCTTCTTTCTGCCATTGACAATAGACCACTGGTCTTTTTAAGGAAGACACTGATTCCACTGCGGAGGAGTGTGCCCACTCCAACTGTATTCTGGCTGTTAAAGCATCAAAGGGGGAATAATGACTTGAGGGAAAATCATCAAGTAATAGAACTAATTCTACTTACGAAGTAAAAAATGATTTAGATCACTTTTTATGATCTAAATGATTTAGAGTTAGGTTCTCAAGTATATCTTAAAAGGCAAGGTATTCTAGTGAGTAACCATGAGCTCTGGAGACAGAAGACTGGAGATTTACGACAGATATAAAATCTGAACAAGTTACTCAAGTTGTCTGAATTTCAATTTGTTTATCTGTAAAATTCAATCATTTAACACATATTTATTAAGTACCAAGCAATATCCTAGGTGTTGGGCTATACAGCAGTGAACAAATCCTTGTTATGATGGAGCTTACATTCTAATAGTAAGAGCAAATGGAAACGTGCAGGATATACAGGGAAAAAAAACACTACAGAATTTTAAAACACAGTATGCCAAATGGTGATGAGCATTATAGAGGAAAAATGATGGCAGAAAGGAGGATTCAAAGCATGGTTGGGAAGGTTTCACTCAAAAGGAACACCTGGACAAAGACATGAAGGAAATGAGGAGGAAAGCCCTGTATATATGGGGATTCATACAAGGAAACAGCATGAGCAAAGGCCCTGAGGTAGGAACACACCTGGCTAGTTGAAGGGACAGTAAGAAAGCTGACACAGTGACAGAAGGGGAGGAGGAGAGTAGTGGAAAATGAGGTAAGAGAAAAGTGGAAAGAGAAGGCAGGGATGAGACCCTGCAAGGCAACTAGGCTATTGAAAGGCTTTGGCTTTTCCTCAGAGGGAGATGAGAAGCCGTTGGAAGGTTTGGAACATCGGAAGTATTTGCCTGACTTACATATCAGAACTTTTACCTAACAGAATTCTTTTGGGAGGACCAAATACACTGTGAAAGGGTTTTTTAAACTGGAAAGCGATATACAAATGTGAAACATTCTTATTACATCCCTAACTTTCTATGTGTCTTTTTACATCAGACAACTTTTCCAAACTCTTCTTCAGAACAAAACAATGGTAGATACTGAGAGCAACTTTTTCCATTTCTGTTACACTATATCTGAAAACATAAGGAACTTGGTGTTTTGCTTTTAAATCAAACCATGAAACAATTATATTTCAACATGAAATGAAGATGAACAATGTGAAAAACAACGTCACCACTAATCAAGCCAAGCAATGACGGTCATGAAATGTTATGTTCTTAACAAGCGCTTTCTTCTGAAATGCCCAAAATGGAAAAGGTAGGCTCAAGTAATAGGTAAGAGATTCTTGTTACCACAAAGACCAACCAAACCAATTTTCCACTTAGTCAAATTTCTTAATTATTGGCCTATATAAAATGAATACAGGGCAAGTTTTCATTATGAAATGAAAATAAAGTATATTGCAAATGGTAAAAATTAAATTATTGAACTAGGTAAATGTCTCCATCACTTTTTAAAGTCAATCACCACAACTGACAGCCCTGTTAATTTGTGAGTAAAAACAATACCAAACTGAAATGACACTGGAAATGGAAACTTAAATTATCACTCCGAAGTTCTAGCCTTGATCCACTTCTATTTTCTGTTGTCTGGATTTTACTTTGTTATTTCATATAATGTGGGGCTACCATTATCGCTAAATGAAAATAATTCATATTCCCATCACTAATTTCTACCCTACAGTGCCATGTTGCCAGTTGTTGACTGGATATCGCCATCCGATGTCCTGCCAGCAACAACTACTCTCATTTAACTTTTACTGAGCCCAACAGTTCTAAACACTGTAACCTTAGTTATTAACTCTTTCTATCTTAAACCGGCCCTCTGAGGACGGTACTATTATTATCCCCATCTTACACTAGAAAGTTAAATAAGTAGCCCAAAGTCATACATTTAGTAAGAAAGAGAACCAGCACTTTGAGCCTAGGCGTTTTTGCTCCACAACCGGTGCGCTTAATCCTGCTGCAGTGCAACAGTGCTTCAGTTCTGTACCTAAAAGCAATCGATACAAAAGGAAACTCATCTACTCCCCCCTAGTTCTCACTGTCCTACTGCAAGTGGAAAGCAACTTAAATTCCAGTCACCTGGCCTCAAAACTCAAGTCATCTCCTCCTTCTCCACGGGCAGTCAGTCCGTCCCTGGGGGTAACCTGGCCTGCTTTCATGTCAAAATGTCACTGGGCACAGGCCATAGAGACTAGACCCAAGGAAAGGCCGCCTCTGAACGCTGGGGTGGGTCGGTGCGCTTTCCCCAGGTCCCCTCCCAGGGGCCGGCATCCTACCCCTGCTCTCTTCTCCCACAAAGGAACTTTCGCCGCCCCACCTGGCCGTGCCGTGGGCCGGCCGAGCCCCCCAGCGGCTCCGCACCTCCACATGGGCCACTCCACGCCCCCGAACACCTCACCCTAGTCTCCCTCTTCCCTTGTGCCCTAAACTAGCAGTTGCAGTCTTTACCTGCTCCTCTGCTTCCGCCATGGTGCGGCCGGAGAGTCACATGACAGACCCGGAAATGAGAGGAAACCAGTCGCTGGGCCCGGGGCCTGCTGGGAAGTGTAGTTTGAGCCGCACCTGACCCTGGACCTCTTTTCTAGCTGGCGAACTTATTGGGGTCGTTTCTGCTGCTGACTCTCCATGTTTGATGGAGTTCTGCTTTGTAGGATCTGAATATAACTTTGTTAATGCTATAATTTAATTTATTGTTCTTTTTTCTGTGATTATTATGATATTTATTAAGCACTTTCTACATATCAGGCCCTGGGTTTATAGCTTTGCGTAATTACCTCATTTAATCCTCCCAGCAATTCCTACTATTGTCCACATATATAGGGACGAATATTGTAGCTCAGAGGTCACATAGCTAGTAAGAGGCCGAACTAGGATTAGAATTCAGCCCTGTGTGTTGTTGCTAAAGACTCTGTGATTACCAAATGCTGTTTACTCTAAAAGTGTTCTTGCCCTTTCTTTTTTAAAGTATATTCAGTGAATGTAAAGCAGTCTTTGCAGTGGACAGAGAAAAATTTGTACTTCAACAAAGGCTATTTAGCTCTTACTGTTTGCTACTTAAAGTTAATGTCATCCTCTGGCATGTGAATGTTGAAAATTTTTTTAAATCTCTGTTGTTTAATTAAATTATTTGTTAAAGTTTTGTTTTTATGTTCTGTAGGTAAATGTTCAAGATAGACTCTAAACTTGTCCTTGGTAAAATCTGCAAAACCACTGTATTACTTACATCCTTTAGAATGACTGATCCCCTCTCCATGTTTCTAGAAATTACGAACCCTCCTTCCTAATCCTCAGGAATCTGCACTATCTTGTCCAAAGATAGGTATTTTTTCTTTCCATTCACTCCAGTAGCTGCTAACCAGCAGAGGGCATCCCACATGTGGATGCCACAGTGCCCTTTTTGACGCCGTGTGCTGCAGTGACTCTGACCTACTAGGCAGTCATGGACTCAGCACTCTGTGTCTCTAACTTGCTCAATCCATGACTCCTCAATGGCCCAGAAGCCAGGGTGACATCATCTCTGAGACATTTGTCTTCTCCCCAGAGCCTAAACAGCCTTCACTCCATCTTCTTTCTCCAAGCCTTGCTGGGATTCCTCTTCTAGTCTGCTAATCACTCCGCTGCAAAGGAATGAAGATAGACCAACTTCAAGGCATTTAAGCAAGCACCCAATACCCTAAGTATTATATCAACCTGTCCAATCCAAGAGTTTCTAAAATCTCTTGCAAAGCAGCCCAGGACCAAACATTGCTCATGATGGACTCCAAATCCCATAGTGACCTTTATACAGAGCAAAGAAGCTGTGCAAGACCTCAGTCCAGTCTCCACAGGAAAGAGATATAAGATGAGCCCTTCTATGTTTCTGACTTTCTCACGAACTCCAACTTTCCCTTCTTCCATTATAAGCTATACCTACCCATAAACCTCTAGGACTACAGCCTCTCCAAATTGACAATCTCTTTTGCTTTGGTGAAACACGGACATGATTGGGATGAAGAAGGAAAATAGAGGATCATTACCACTGTCTTACCTCCAAGGATGCTTTTGTTTTATTGTTAGATTTTATTTTGGTGAGAAGTCAAACAGCACATCCAGAGAAAGAGTGATTAAATACTCTTTCTCTCAAGTGGGAAAATACTGAAAGTTACTCTCACTGGGAAAATTATCACTGAAATCCCAAAGATCTTATTCTTTTTCTCCCCAAATTCTATTTTTCTTTCTCAACAAATGGTATATGAGCCCTTAAAATTTTTAGGACTTCACAAAATTTTGGCTTCCCTCTTTCTTTTTGGGCTGGTAGTCTTTCTCTTAACACCTCCTGCCTCTGAGGCCAGCTGTGCTGTGTCTTCTCCCAGGCCACTGTTATCAAGCCCTGAGTTGATGACAGAATTAGGAGTAGGGGGGTCACTTGAAAGTTTTATTTATTGAAGAGGTCTTCTGAGAGTCCCAATCAGCCCCTTGCCAGGGCTGCTACTCCCTGATTTCACTGATGAATTTGCTTTATTTATTTATTTATTTTTGTAGCAGCTGGAGCTCCCTGGGTTTATATGCTAAATGAGTCTTCCTGAATTCGTTAAGGGACACATCCCTTTTACCTTCCACAATGGTTCTGCTCTGGGAGGCCGCCTGGTGGGGAACACACAGTGACAGCCTAGGCAAGCGAAGCCAGAGTCTGGCCATCCACTCAGGGCCTTCCTGGCCTTTCTACTTTTCTGGGATGAAGAATGTTCAGCCTCTTTCTCTTTATCTAAAAGGGTGTTATGAGCCTGATTGAAGATGTAGACAAAGTTTACTGCAGATTTTCCTCTGCTCATTCAGCCTCAGAGACTCTGGATTCCCCAGGTTTGTTCCCCATTCAGTGTGCTATCCTGATTATAATAAACTGTGGTGAGCATTGGTTCTATTACTGTTTCCTTTTGCACAGACTTGAAAGGTGAAGAGACACAGGCAGAGAAAGACTAATTAGAAGAACAAACCTGCTATAGGATAGCAGTTTCAAGCTGGGTCGATGGGCAGGAGGAAATTCATGTGACCACTGAGCCCCAAATTTTCTCCTGTGAAATGAGAGTTTGGGGCTCTCTTGTCTAGATAGTCCTGTAGCCTGTGACTACTCAAAGTGTGGTCCACAGACCACAGGAAAGATTGTCAGAAATGAAGAATTTGAGACCCTTTGAGAGACTTACTGAGTCAGAATCTGGATTTTAATAATATTCCCAGGTGATATGCACATACATTAACACTTGAGAAGTGGTCATCCTAATAGTCATTGATTCTACATCAAATCACTGACTTGTTTCTTGCACATCATCAGTTTACCCTCTTTCAACTTCAAGCCATGGAGGTAAAGGTAAGATTTAACTCCTCATTCTCAGTCTTTAGGACGTAAAATTGTTAATAAACTTTGGAAACCAGACCTAAAACATTGTATTTGTAGAATAGTTGATTGGTTTTAAGGATCTGTCTCATAAGTTTGTTGTATAGGTCTGAAATAGTTTACTAACAATAAATTATAGCCATTTTATTTATAGTAATAACTATTTCATTATTTAAACAATATGTATGGCCTCAATATTTTCCAATATAAAATAGTATTTCCAAATTTAGGAAACTTGAAAAATCATAAAACTGAAAAGAAGAAGTTAAAATAATGCACTTCTGTATCTGTTATGGAGAAAGGATTAGATGACGCTTTATAGATTGCTACCTTTTTCAGTGCAAAGGTCTTTCTTGATAGCTAATGACAAGCAAAATTACAACACATTACACTACTGACTCCAAGCAATAATCTTAGCCTTTATTTAATTAACTTGCTCTCCCAAGTTAGTTAAAATAATATTGAAGTTATCTTTGGCAATCTTGGGAAGCCTGAGCTTATTTTGCAGTTCAGTTTTGCAAAAACTGTACCCACTGAAACATGTTACCTTCTAATATTTTAATGTCACTTTAAGATATAGCTTATTGAGAAGTTCCCTGAGCAATCACACTAGATTTTTTAAGAGAACATTTATCTAATTACAAACATACTACATGTTCATGATAGATAACTGGAAAAACAAACAAAATTATAAAATAAAATTCTAAAGTCACTCATAATTCCTCCATTCAGATCATCATTGTTGGATATATTTCTTTCTTCTTTCTTTTCTCTCATTTTTTTCTCTCTCTCATCCTCCTTTCCTCCCTCTCCCTCTCTCTCCCTCTCCCTCCCGCTCCCTGTTTATTTAAAGTATTTTTCAACAAAAATCGTATTATGAAGTTTTGTCATCTGCTGTCTTCACTTAGTCATATTTCAAGATCATTTTCCAATAACGTTGTAAAACATTGTTCTAAACATGATTTTAATGGTACACATTATGTAATTGTATCCTACAAAAAACATAATTTATGTAATGATTCTTTTTGTTGTATGTTTCAAGTATATCTAATTAACATCCTCTGCATCATTTTGGAAGATGCCTCAATTAAAGGTGGGTTTTAATTACAGAAATAAAGACTGATCGAATGAGAAAAGCCATTGAGGATTTATTCTGAGCTTGCTACAGCAAGGGAGTCAGCCACCACCACTTGCATTTTGGCAGAGACTCAAAGGCAGGCAGAAGAGTGGGAAAGCTTTACAGTGGAAAACAGGAAGGCTTCAGATGTGTCCTGATTGGAGACTGTTGGTGTGGGAAAGCTGTAGGTGAGCTAACTAGAATTGGGACGTCCTATATGAATGGTTAGAGGTGCATATTTGGTTTTCTCTGGTTAGTCTTAAGTTGGAAGTGGGGACAAAAATTGGGGAGGTTGTCAATTATTAATAATGTCCTGGTCATTTGGGATTGTTAATAGAGGTTATTGTTAAGCTTCCTAGACTCTTATTAGAGATAGCAGTTTGACTTCCCACAAGTTTAACTTAAAGCAGG